GGAAGTTTTAAGAAAAAAAAGTTAAAAAAATGACAAAATTTACCGATTTTTAAATTTGTAATTTTTTTGGATATTTCTCCCATTTTCGGGGAACGAGAGAAATTTTTTCAATTTTTAAGGGTAATGTCTCCAACTAGATACGATTTGTGATCTTTTGACGTATCATTGAAAGAAATCGGTTCGGTGAGAGCTGAGAAAAAGTAACAACAGAAAAAAAAAAAAAAAAAAAACACATCATAGTAAAATTAATACCATCTCAGCTTCGCATCGAAGCTAATAAAGTAAATTTAACCAAAGAGATCACTTAAAATGATAAAATAAGTTAAGATTCAACCTATAAAAATATTAATTTCCTATTGGAATTTTTAATTTATCTACGAAGCCCATCTTATGAAATTATAATTAAATATTCCAAGTGTGGTAAGGACTCTTGTGAAATATTTACTATAGGATATAATTCATATGTGATAATACTATTTAATTTAAAATTTAGTTGTGTTATATATGATTTTTCTTTAAAAAATGATGAATTATCTGTTGAGCATTAGTCACAAAATTTATTAAAATTTCTTTTGCTTTTTTCGACTTATTTTCCTCTTATCAGTAGTTATTTGATTTTGTGTTTGAAATGTTTTATAAAAGGTTAAAATTCTTTGTCATTAAAAAAATCTGTATCTTCTTTTAGAAATTTATTGTCACATGGTTTACATGAAAATATATCTAACAATTTTTTACCGAGGTACCCAATAAAATATACATTTGAGCAGGTCTTTAAAGTTAATGTAGGAACAGTAGTCAGTTGTTCTTGAATAGTAGGATAGGAATTAGAGAAGGAAGATTTTTCAGATGTGTCTAAACTATAATTGGAATCGATAGAATTTTCAGTTGTAGGGTTTGTTGATAAACTGAAAAAGTATTTTCTAAAACATCCAGATTTAACCTACTAGTTATTAAATAATCGTATCCTAAATTTTGCTGTTACTCAAATAATATTATAACAGCGTTGATATTCTATAGCAAACCATCAAAACATGGAGGTTTTACTCCTTGTCTCTTAATAGGTTGTGATAATCTAAGGTCACTAATAATAATGTTGGTTTGTTTTAGAAAGTTTAATTGATTGGGATTTTCACTATATAAAGCATAAGAAAAAGGATTTTTATTAAAGAGCTTTGTAATGTTAAGAACGTCAAATAAATCATTTATGTCTTTAAGAAAGCCTACAATAGCAACAACTGTAGACGATTTAATTTGTCTGGTACTTATATATGTTTTTAAATAAGATGTAAACATCGCTAATACATTCTGTTTTTAATGCAATTCCAAATATAATTCTGGCATCGAGGTATCGTAATGTTAAATCGTTTCTTTTACGTGGTCTATAGTACAATTGTTTTACGATCTCACTATAAACGCTAAATTTTATTTTTAATCGTGTTAAGTTTGTAGTGCCACATGAATTCACGAAATTATTAAAAAATAAATAAATACATCATGGTAAAATTAATACCTTCATAGATTCGCATCGAAGCTACAATTTTTCCTCTTAATTGTAAAATGTATACATCTCAAATTAATGGATAGGAAGAATTATGCAGAAAAAAAAATTCCATTTTGCATTTTATTCAATAAAATATTGTTTTATATAAATTGTAAGTAGATTAATTTTTTAATAGTCCATTGAAAAAAATTCAGCAGTTCTAATCGATTAGCTATAAAACTATTGCATAGTTTTTTAAATATTAAAAATAAACTATTCAGTTGCAAAAAAAATATTCGAATATGACTAACACAAATTTATTAAATCGTTACGCCTAGACCTAGGTAGGTATAGGGCTAAGAACCGAAATTATTTTTTAGGATACGGTTTTTATTTTTGATAACTTCGGTTTAACTAACAGCTTTTAAATAAATTCTAGAGTAATTAAATTTAAGTTTTTTTTTTAAATCGGATTTTTGAACGAGTTATTCAATTAAACGTTGATAATAACAATTTTAGCTTCGATGCGAAGCTGAGAAGGTATTGGTTTTACTAAGATGTGTTTTTTTTTTTTTTTTTTTGTGTCTGTTACCACTTTTTCTCAGCTCTCACCGAACCGATTTCTTTCAATGATACGTCAAAAGATCACAAATCGTATCTAGTCGAATACATTACCCTTAAAAATTGAAAAAAATTCCCTCGTTCCCCGTAAAAGGGGGAAACCTCCAAAAAAATTACAAATATAAAAATCGCTAATTTTCGAAATTTTTTCAATTTTTTTTACTTAAAAGTGCCATAACTTTTTCAAAAATAAACATATCAATATAATTCTTTTTTATATAGATGCATAATATCATTACCTTTCATTTGGTATATTTTTTTCATAAATTTAACCCTTAACCTGCCCACAAGGGGGGATTTAAAATGACAACTTTTTCACAAAAAATTAATTTTTTTAACTTAAATTTTGAAAATGTTCCGGAAGGTCTGACACTTTTATATATATCTTAAATTAAAGCTAATGTAATATGCTTTATCATGAAAAAAAAAAATTTCGGACTTTATCTTATCTTCATGGTGAAAATGGCTACCGAATGCTATTTTTGTGTGAAAATTTTCGATTTTGTATTTTCCATTTTTAACTTTATTATGCTATAACTTTTTGAAAAATGTATGAATCATTACAATTTTTTTATGAGAAGTAGTATTTATATAGATCTTTCATTCGACATACTGTTTTTTTAAATCGGACCATTTCCCTAAATACAGGGGGGATTCAAAACATAAAAATGCATATAGAAAGTAGAACTTTTTCAACGTAACTTTTGAAAGTGTTCCGGAAGGTCTGACACTTTTATATATATCTTAAATTAAAGCTAATGTAATATACTTTATAATGGTAAAAAAAAATTTCGGACTTTATTTTATCTTCATGGTGAAAACAGACATTAAACTTAATAAAAAAAATACGATTTTTGTAAAAAAATTCATTTTTATATTTTTAACTTTATAATGCTATAACTTCTCAAAAAATGTATGGATCAATATAATTCTTTTTTTTGTAGATGCATGATGTCTATACCTATCATTTGGTATATTTTTTTTATAAATCTGACTTTTTACCTGCCTACGGGGGGGAATTCAAAATGACAACTTTTTCACAAAAAATTGACTTNAGGGGGGGATTCAAAATGACAACTTTTTCACAAAAAATTGACTTTTTCAACTTAAATTTTGAAAGTGTTCCGGAAAGTCTGACACTTTTATATATATCTTAAATTAAAGCTAATGTAATATACTTTATCATGGAAAAAAAAAATTTCGGACTTTATTTTATCTTCAAGGTGAAAATGGCTACCAAATGCTATTATTGTGTGAAAATTCTCAATTTTATTTTTTACATTTTTAACATTATAATGCTATAACTTATTGAAAAGTGTATTGATCAATATAATTTTTTTATGGGAAATACTATTTTCTAATAATCTCTTTTTTATTCGACATACTTTGTCTTAATCAGGATATTAATAAGGAACTAGCAGTTTATGAAGCTTTTGGAATAATCCACCAATTTTTTAAAATTAAACACTATCTAAAGATTTGCATCGAAGCGTTTTTTTTTGATAGTGATTTTAATCACTGTCAGATATCATTATACTTGATCCAACTATGCCACGTCACCACTGTGCCGCGACCCCCCTGTGCTGGGTTTTTTATATTTATCCTTATTTTTTTTACCTTTTTAGCTCTGATGAGAATGTATTGTTGTATTGACTAAGATGTGTTTTTTGCATCTATCTATAAAAAATTCTAGCTTTCACTAAATTTATTTTGCTGATCAATACGTTAAAAAACCTGAAATTGATCCAGTTGAAGATATTAAAAGAAAAAGAAATCCAATATAGTTATTCAAAATATATTTATTTATTTCGAAATTCGGCAGTATTCTTAGTCAATTCATTAACATGTCATTATTTGTATATTTCCATGACTTTTAAAATTGAGAATTTTTATGACTTCTTAATTTTCAAACACCACCAAAATATCAAACATTTTCAATGGTTAATCACAAAAAAATATATTTAGTTTATTGGTTTTCTGAATCAAATTTATAACTTTTGTAGGTATCCCTAGGGTAAATAATAAAATAGGTTTTATCGAACAAAAAATCCTTATTAAATTTTTGAGCTTTAATTATTTTTTGTAACTTAACATTGAATAGAAAATTATCAATATATTTCAAAATAATAACAAAAATTAAATATACAATCGATTATTAAAGATTCCAAAACTTAAATAATATCAGTTTTTAAAGTTTTATATGGGTTTCAATTTCTAGCTTTACTGTTGGTACTTTTATTTCGTATATCATAGCATGGGGCTGCTTCAGACACTTATTCTCGAGTCTAGTGTATAATCTCTGTATTAGTACTGTGTCCGTTTTTATCAATTGAAAATATTGTAATAAATTATTGCTGGTTGCAATTTACTCTTAAATTAATGTGCACTGCTTTAATTTAATGTTATTTCTTAAATTACATTTACTCTGATTTTTCAAAAAATTAGGAGAATTTCTTTATTGGGGCTTTCTTAACCACTCGCGATGTCCTTCTATAACAATAACGACAGTAAAAATGATCAGTTTTATATTCTTTATTCTACATATGTATACTGCATTTTATATATTCATTTGGAGGGGATACTTTGCATTATTGGCGTATTCAGAGTATATTCAATAATTGTGTTAAAACTACATTTTAGGTGAGAAATCACGTAGAAATCATTGAAAATTTAGGGAATGTCTTCTGTAATAACAGTTCACAAATGTATAATAACATTTTATATCATTAATAATAATAAATATAGTGTTGTAGAATGCCTCAACAATGACGTCCAATACATTAAAATCAGCAAATTAGAAACCTTTCTTTATAAAATAACAACTATTAAAATTCTTGTACCTAGCAATTAAATTTCATGTTTTATATAAAAATAATCAACGTAGTAAGTCTTGCTGTAAAAAAAAAAAAAAAAAAAATACATTTTTAAATCCGCGCATTTGGTATAAAATTGAATATTGACAATCACATCTTCTATATGTTGTAATATACAGGGGTGTTCAGTAAGTCAGGAAACGGTTTTCTATTGTTCTCATTGTTACAAACAATGAGAACAATAGAAACCCGTTTCCTGACTTATTGAACACCCTGTATATAAATGAATACTGATTTTCTATCAGTTATAAATATAACTGAGATAAAATTAAGTTTTGCAAAAATTAAACACAAAAAAAAAAAAATAAATAAAAAAAACAATTTTATTAATAACAGAAAAAACGTATAATTTTGGGATAGTGGCATAGTTTAGGCAACTGTTACCCTCTGCTCAAGGCGACAAATTTTCAAAAATACCATACCCGGTTGTACTACATAAAAATTGTAATTGTTTTACTCATAACCGAAAAACATATGTACCGTGGTCGCGATTATACTAATTATGACCTTTCTTTTTTGCTCGAAGGGGCGTCTAAAAATGTGGCCTTAAGGTAACGTTTGGGTATATAAAAAACTTTTTACTTCGATTTTCAAATGAAAAAATTGAATCTTTACCACATAATTATTATTGTAATAATTGGACACCACCAATAGAGTAGTATGGCACCCAAGTCACTCCAAATTGAACCATGACTAGCTAAAATGCCCTATAATGTAATTTATGAACAACAATCAAACCAATACTTTACTGTATATCTTTTAAAATAATGTTTCTTAATTATTATAATCAAATTCTTTATGAAGAGAATCTAAAGTGAAAAGGATTAATTTTTGTATGTCATTTAAATATATATCAGAATTTCTCTTACATTAAATAGCTGATAGCTTGCTAGAAATACTTAAAAATGTTGATAATTATAACAGTTATTATCAGATGAACCATAACTTAAATTTGTTTTTGAGTGGTGAATGTGAACATTCAAATAATTGTTTTAAATAACACAAGAGGACTCGGCTAAACTTTCAAGTTTTGCTTGTTTGGACATCAAATTTAGTTTTTATAATTATAAAAATGAGAATTAGTCAAACATTTTGTTATTAAAACTATAATTTATTAAAATAATGATTTAGTCAAATAGGAAAAGTACTTTTTCAAAATTACTTTTAAATTCAATTTTTTGTGCAATGGTATCAAAATGGATTTAATTGGTGCTTAATTCATTTTTTTCTAATAATGAGGTTTGTATTGTAGACTTGTTAAATCTTTGCTAACAATACTTAGTCATGTTAAAGTATTCCTATATAAGTTTATAAATATAACAACAGAAAATTAGTTGTCTACTAATGTTCATAAAAAATAATTTTTTACAAATTTGAATAATTAAAAGTTATGTTGTGTTAAATGTATACTGATTTCAGTTATAAATTAAATATATTTTATGTATAATTTATATTTTAGTTTAAAATAAATAATAATAAAATGTTGAAAGATATTTGCAGGTATCAGCTAAATGGTTGATATTTATGTACTTATCTACTCACCTATTAAACAATTTATTTTTGGTAATATACCTAGTCTTTTGATTTTATTATTTGTTTTACAAAAAAAGGTCATTTATATTTTTTGTAAAAAATATTTATAGTATTCACACTAATTCTACAGATGGTAATAAAATGAGATTTAAAGTAACACAAATTTTTATGATGTAGAGGAATAAGAATGATAGAATGATAATTCATTTCTTACTCCCCGTTTCTTTTTTCATCATATGGCAGCAGTTTAAATTCGTATATATGACTTTCTAAATTCTTCTAATTTGTTAACTAATTTTTTTCTTTTAAACCTAAGGGCTTCTGCAATTATATCATTGACATAAGTTAGTTGTATAGAAGCTGGACCTTTCAAGGTTCCCAAACAATGAAATAAAGTTGTATAATCTGCAATAAAATTTTAGCTACAATTATAAATTTTTAGTTAAGTAAATATTATTAATTTTTTGAGATAAATTTACTCACAACTGTTCAGAAGGCTAATATTGCCTATTTAAGAATTACGATTACTTACTTTTACCAGGTCGTTTAACTTCAATGATTAAAAGTTTTTTAACTTTAGCATTATGTTGTTTAATATCTAATAATTCTTGTTGAGATAAATCATTCAAGTCTTGGTTAACATTAGAATTTACTGTCAATAAATGTTGTCGAATGGAATTTTCTTCTCGGACTAATGGTACATGTACATGGTTAGAAGAAATATTATTTAGTATGATTTCTTCATTTTCTATTTCATCATTGAAGTTATTTTCATAAGGTTCAAGAATTGGAGGAGGAGGTGACGGACATGACATTCTAGAGAAGCATTCACCATTTATTGGGAGAGGTGTTAATTCCTCGTCTATATATAAAGTAAAAATAAAAATTATGCAAATTTTTAAATTGTATAAATCAATGCCATATATATCATTGCCTAAAGAATATTATAAAATAGAAAAAAAGATAAAAATTTAATTTTTGTTTAAGTTATACTATCTTATATGGTAAAAATAATTTTCTTTTCTTTAGTTAGTCATACTAATACTGGATTTATTAATTAATAGTATTTATTAACATCTATCCCTGATCAAAACATTAAAATATCTCTTTTTAAACTAGAAATTAAATAATTTTGTTGTTTCAAAAATAATTGTTATATTTTTTAGTAATAATTAAAAATTACTATTTTTTTTTTATTACTGAAATATTAGAAATTGATTTCTTATTAATTATTAGAATACATAAAAAAACAAACCGGCTTCCCCTCCATTGGGTAAAAGTAGAGGAGGAGCTTCTACTATTACATTAACAAGATTAAATGGTGCAGGTGAAGGAGACCTAGGGCGTGGTGATGCACATATATGTCTTGGTAATGGCCCTGGCTTCCTACGAGGAGGTCCACTATCAATTGCTCTTTTAGATCCAGTTCTAGGACTTGATGAACCACTCCCTGTCCCTATCATGTCAACATCAGCTTCATCCACCATCATTCTCTAAAGTATTAATATAATTAATTATAAGAATAATAAACAATTTAATTTGAGATGATTTTCATTAAATAATACAAATTTTAATTTAAAATAATGTAATTTTTATACAACACTTCAAATTTGTAAAATGATTATTATTACAGAATTCATCTATTAAAATCATACTAGGACTACAAGGATACAATAATATAAGAATACTTTCCTGAATACCCCAGGAATACTTTTTTAAGTCCTTATTTAACCTAAAAAAATTATCAATAAATCTAAATTATGCAATTTAAATAGTTTTGAATACTCTAGGATTTTAAGGGATGTTAAAGTATTCTGAATACCAATATTTTAATGTATTTTTTTTTTTTTTTTTACTTATAAATACATCAACATAAATGACCCTACAACTAAATTATAAGTATGAGGTGTGCGGGTGTAAATAAATCGATTACACACTTTTCTTAAATTAATTAAAAACATAATGAAGTCAGTTGACATTTTACCACGCTTGCGGCAACATACCTTATTGATCTGATAACTTAATTCGCGCAGTATTGTTGTAGTTACTAAATTAAACACTATTATTTTACTTATTATTATTATTTTGGGTTGTGTACACTCGCTGCCTTCCCTCACCTAACTTGGATACCACAATCTATAGAGATCCAGTCAGGTTATATTTAAAAAATATTAAATAGAAATAAATGCTTGTTATCATTGTTAGTTGAGTCTATATTTATTTGGTCACAAAACAGCTAACTGCCATTTTAGTGGGATATAAATTAAATAGGTACAGCTTAGCCATCCCTTAGTTAGGACCCTAGCAGGAAAGTACGTTGCACTGGAATCCTTTTATTAAAAATATATTTAAAAGACAAAAATTAGAAATATAAATATTTAATAAGTAAATATTTAACTTTTAGAAAATTTTAGGAGGGCTAAGCCCCTATAAGTACCTGGCTAGTTAAGCCAATGCTTTAATTTAAACTGGAAAGGTTTTTTTTAAATATAATTCAACTAAATTGGTTAATAGTTTTAATTAGTTTAGCACATATAATAAAGCATATTTTCAGTGATACTAACTTTATCAATTTTAAATGGATTTCCAAACATATGTTGCCTTACAGGCATAGATTCAACTTCTCGAAGTGGAGAAGTCATTCGTTTCAAATATTCTTGATAATTACCCATTTGACTTACAGGCATTGAATGAATTAATTCTAAAAATAAAAATATAAACATCTTACTATTTTTATAATTGTCATTTTGTTTTTGAATACTTTTTTATATATTCTTAGACTACATTAAAATCATATTTATTACTTTTTAATATTTCAAAAATTTAAATGGATAATTTTTAGGCACTTTTCTTATATAAATTATTGATGGGTTAATATGATTTTAGAAAAATAATTTTTGAATTGCAAGCATTTTAATACATAGTGGGTATGTAATTCAGGTGAAGTATGCATTGTAAATATACATCAGAGTAAGCTGTACCCTCATCAGATCAACAAGAAATTTGTTTATTACTAAAAGAAATAATAAAAAAAACAGAGCAGAGTGAAAACAAGTATAGATGATAACTATCAGTGATTAAAATTACTATCATTAAACGATTGCAAACCTGTAGATAGTGTTTAATTTTTAAAAGGAATGGTATTGTAAATTTTATGGAGAAATTAAAAAGTTATTGTTTACAGAGTGATAATTTTGATATTAGTCACTTAAAATAAAAATTATATTTAGAAAATAATTTTGGGTACTATTTAATTCTATATATTTTTTTGAATTAATAATCAAGAAATATATCCATTATACATTATAAGGGTTTCAATTTTTTTTTTAATGATTAGATACATATATAACTAGCTAATTAAATAAAAAATTATCTAATTAAGGGAAAGACTAGTTGAAACACTTTTCGAAATTGTTGTACTTCAGAAGTTATTAACATTTTAAATATAAAGTGGAGAAAAGCATGACAAAGTAATCAGTAATAACAAAAATTACATAACCCACACAACTTGACTATATTACAATAAATAGTTATAACTTCTGAAAAAATGTGTCAAAAGTTATCTGATTCCTTATCATTTAAATTAGATTATTTTTTATTTTATAATCTAGTTAAATATATATGTGGTCACTTGAACAAAAAAAATTAACACGCTTATAAGGTATAAGGGATGAATTAAAAAAATTATTATTATTTGAAATATTTGGAACTAAATAACATTAAAAATGATTTCCTTAAAAATAATTATTATGTTAATTAAATTGAATGTATAAGAGATTGGCTATTAAAAAATCACTCTGTATTTCTTTATTTCAATTTATCATAAGCCATTGGTAGTCATTACATATTTATGGACAAGGCAGTCTCCTTCCTTATCATATACATATTGGATTGACATTAAATTTTGCATGAATTTTCCCTAAAAATAATTATAACTAACAATTAAATCATTAAAATTTTTTTTTTCATTTTTTGTAAAAGGGGGTAACTATTTGTCTTAAAATATAGACAAACAATTGAAAAAAAAAAAAAAAATTGAAATAAAAAATTATAACAGAACAAAAAATTATGATTATTACACTAAAATGACATTTTATGTTTAAGTCCAAAGGCTGTATAAATAAACAAGACACAGTGTTTAAACAATTTTTTTTTAACTTATGATAAATAGTATAAGCTTTAATTTAACATGTGTATAAAAATTTAAGTATTTCTGGAATATTTTCAAAAGTTAATTTGAAAAATTCAATTTTTTGTTCAAAAAGTTTCTATTTTAAATCCCTCTTGTGGGCAGGTAAGGGTCAGATTTTCAAAAAAATTAGATCAAATGAAAGGAAAATATTTAGAGTTTATATAAAAATTGTTTCTTGATTTTTCAATTTTTGAAATATTAAAGCAGTTTAAAGAAAACTTTGAAAAATGTAGAAATTTACTAAATTAAAATATTGTAATTTTTAATAGATATGATTTGTGATATTTTGACGTATTGTGAAAAATATCTATCTGGTGAGAGCTCAGAAAAAGTGACGACAGACATATAGGGAAAAAAAATATCATAGTAAAATTTATACTTTCTTATCTTCACAACAATGAAATTAAAAATATGATTTTATCATAGTTTAAGCATGCATAAATTATTTTAAAATAGAATTACAATGAGTATTGATTGTATCAAAAGTTATTATTTAATTTATTTAAACTAGTTATTTACTATTAAAAGTTTTATCTTGTCTGAAAATATATTTTTAATGAGTATTTTAAATAAATATAAAATTTAAGTAGTACAAGTTTTAACAGAAAAACAGACACAAGTATTTTTCTTGCCATATAAAAAACTTAAACATAATTAATTGATACAAGTGGAAAAATAAATAAATGTTACTTAAGAATCACCCCATATATAAATATAAAATTAAATTTATACCATCATCAAATAGCTTTGTTTGAGACAATTGTGAAAAATTATTTTGCATGTTTTTTACAACTTCCAGAAGTTTACTTCTAGAAATATCAAAAGGATTACGAAAACCAGAACCACCAGTTTTGTTACATTCAACATTTTTTCGTTTAGCAGTTCCTACAACGTAATTGTTGAAATCATTAAGTTGTTCCCTCAAATGAATAAATTTATCTGAAAATTTTGGAAAATTAAATATTGTTACTGTTAATAAGATAAAAATAAAAAAAATTACTCTGAAGTTGAGGATTAGTTGATACATCTTTTTTTAATAGAGATAAATGATTAATTCTTACGTAGTCAGCCATATTTACATTTGATTTTGCAGTTTGTTTATTAGTTACTTCAGTACATAATCTACAATAATAAACCAAAAAAAAATAAAATATAATATAGTAGTAAGTAAAAACATTTAAATTCTAATTATAGATATGATAATATATTTCAGTAAAACATTTATAATAAATATTCTTGACGTTAATTTGTTTTCATCTATATTTATACCTATCATATTCAGTTTTTGCTTGAGTTTTTAATCTCTTAAGATAACTTAGCACAGAATAACTTAAAGAAGCATTGTCAGCAGTATCTGGTACAAGTGAAGTCACAACAGTATTTGGAACACCCATTCTGGTTAATGCTCTTCTTAAAGGCTAAACAATATTTTTTATCAATAAAAAAAAAAAAAAATATATTATTTTTAATTAGTACATACAGCGTTATAATAACCAGGTGTACTACGTAAATACGCTTGAAATTGTGCTCGCCATTCTGGAGTTTGTTTGAGTCTATGAACTTTGATCAATTCATCAAGAATAGGTAAAAGCAAAGGGTAATTATAAGGTAAAACAAAAAGATTGACACAAGACAGGGTAGTACTGGCTTTCAAATAACCAAAAGGATGCATGACATCTGGTGTTTTAAAACTATTAGCAACAAAAACCTTAAAATAAAATTTATATACACATTAATTAAGTTTGGTAAAATGATAAGTTATTAATTAAAGAAGGCTATGAAAGAACCATATTTTATTTAAGTAAAAAATCTCATGAAAATAATTGATTACCTGCCAACAGAGAGTGGGTTGCTTTCTTGATAATATAAATTGAGTTAATGGACATGGTTCTAGTTCATATTTATCAAATGGTAAACTTTCAATAACCATAGGTTCTTGATTAACACAAGAAAACTTAACAGTTGGATGAGCATATCTTGGAGGCTATAGAAAATAATTGTAAATTAAAAATTCAATTTTACATTAATTTAATTTGTGATATTTTACCAAAGAATTCATGGTATTTTCTGGCCAATATGATTCAGGAATAGGCCAAAAACCCATAGGAAATCCTTTTTGAGCAGATTTTGGTACATGAATTAATTTTCGACAGTTTTGCCATGAATTTGTAGGTGGCTGAATATTTGGTAATCCATTTGTCTTATTCTATAAGTTAAAATTAAATTAATAATTATTATTATTTATATTTAAATTCTAAAATTAATTTAATTAAAAAAAAAAAAAACATTTTATGTATCATACTCCATTTTGATGAATTTGGTCAATGTTTCCGAAACCAATTTTTCCAAATTCATCATAGACTATATCTGTATCAACTCCATTTTCTTTATCATTAATTGGCATTGGTTCAGGACCAATTTTCTCAAAATTAATAACAACGCCACTTTGAATTTTTTGTACTAAGCTATCTATACATTGCATCAGAACTCTTTGTGAAGTTATACAATATGATCTACCTGTAAATTAAATATATGGTAAATTTAGAATAACAAATAATTTTCAATTTTGATGAACTAAAAATTTAAATATACCTCCAGTAACTTCACACATTGCATCTATAGGGGATGTATCATTAGCAACCAGCCCTGTATCACGTTCAACAGTTGGTGTACCAGACATACGTAAAACTAATGAAAATAACCGTTGATCCCAACGAAAAGGTTCTCGTGTCATTTCCCAACCAGGTATTGGGTTTGTCATGGGCAAGTTAAATTCATCTACAACAGTTGATGCATTTGATAATCGACCACCATCTGTTATTACAACAATGATGCAAGGTTCAAGAAAAAACGGTGAACGCCCTTGTCCATACGTATCTATACCACTTTGCATACGATTAATATTGAGTATATCAAAAACGTTTTTTAATGCAAGACCTAATGTAGTCATTTCAGCACATCTTAAATTTTTTAATTGATTCATAAAAGCACCAATATTTTCTTTCCAACCAGCCTGTAATAATATTTTACAATTATTAAAAAAATATTGATTTATTAGAAATTGAAGTAGATTTTAATAAAAAAATTATAATAATAAAGTATATTATAAAATTATTAATAACACTTTTCTATTGGTCAAATTTACTAGTTATCTTTTAAACTATTATTAATTTGTATTACCTTTATATTAGCTGGAGGTTCTTCAAAAGTAAGAAGCATATACCTATCACCTCGACTTTCAGAAGATCTTTGTCTCACCTGCGTAAAATTAATTTTTTTTTAATCTTTTATAAATTTTCACCTATATAAAGATAAGAATACTGTATTCAAACCTTAACAAAAGACTCTACTGCTCCTTTTGCAATATCCAAGAGGGTTGGCCTTCCTCCTACATAGGTCCTCTGACACATGGACGCCGAAGTATCAATGAGAAATACAATAATAGTCATGCCTAGGGTTTGTCAACAAAGGAATTTACAAAACTTCAGAACACGGCTGTACATTAGGATTTTTTTAAAAATACTGTGTGAATTTTTCATGAACTGAATGTTGATTATTATATCATTGCGGCTAGGTAAATAGAAAATTAATTGGGTCGATGATCATACGTGGACTGTGACGGCCATTTTTGACGGTTGTTTAAGAAATTTAAGACTGAGCGGCAGAAACTGTGATATGCGTGCACGTGAGCTGACGTCCAAAACCCAACTTTTACAATTATGCTGTTTTCAGAAATGGGCTAAAGCAAATTTGTAGGATCCGCCAGAGAGCGCTCATTAATAAGTCACTCCTCTTTTGTCACTACAAAAATTGGTGTACTATCTCCTCCTGACTTTTCAAATTATAACAGATAACTGACAATATGAATTACATATAAATTATAAATAAAGACATTTAAATTTAATTCAATAATTAATTACAATACGAATTTTCGTGTGTAAAAATAATTTTAGCATGGTGAATTATTCATAATTTGCTTATTCATTTTAAAAATTTGTGTATGCTAGATGGTATCATATTGCAACTAATTTAGGTGGTGTCACTGCATTAAATTCTGATTACTAATAGATAATATTTTATAATTGGTAATAGTTAAATAAAGGGTAGTATAACGAATAATTCTTTTCGCAGTCTTTTAATCTATGAATAAATAATAAAATGGAATACATTTTGTTACTTGTATTTATATTCAAATCTTACTGTCACTACTTTTTTAAAGTTGATGAATGAATCACATGAAAGTTTCACAGGGATAAGATTTTTGGAAAGGAATAGCATAGGTAAACTCAAATAATACATATTTACAAAATTTTAATATAAACAATATTCTACTATTTCGTGTGAAAATTTAAACTTATTTGGTTTAATTAAAGATTGTTAAATTAAATTAAACAGTTATAACTAATTCTTATCAAATTTTATCCTAAATTGTTTCTTATAGTAGTAAGAAAAATTCTGAATCTCAAGCAAAATTAAAGTACATTTGAGGAATACCCTAGGTGCGGCCTGCTAATAGTGTTATTAACAAACTTTAAAGTGCTATAACTTTTTGACTATTTTACACCAACATTTTATTTTTGCATACTTGTAGTCAGTATAAAAAAAACCAATTAAAAAAAAATTAAAAATATTGTGTGAGAGTTAATTTGAATTCATGGCAGTATAATAGTTAAAATTTGAATTAGTTTATTAATTTTATCTTTTTAAAGAAATAAATTAATTAGAATTTCCTTAAACTTGAAAAAAAAAAATTCCTATTATACTTTCTTATTACACGCTCACGTATTTGTTTTCCTATTAATTTTTCTTTTTGTCAGACTCGAGAATAAACAAATTTTGAATTAATGAATTGAATAGTATTCTCCTATAGTATTTCATCTTTAAAATATTTTATATTTTGTTTTTGTTAAGGGTAATTTATTTTAAAAAAACCCAGCACAGGGGGGTCGCGGCACAGTGGTGACATGGCATAGTTGGATTAAGTATGATTAAAATCACTATCAAAAAAAACACTTCGATGCAAATCTTTAGATAGTGTTTAATTTTAAAAAATTGGTGGAATATTCCAAAAGCTACATGATCTGCTAGTTCCTTATTAATATCCTGAATTAAAAAGGGATTATTAAAAAATATTATTTCTCATAAAAAAATTATGTTGATCCATACACTTTTCAATATGTTATAGCATTATAAAGTTAAAAATGTAAAAAATAAAATCGAGAATTTTCACTTAAAAAAAGCATTTGGTAGACATTTTCACCGTGAAGACAAAATAAAGTACGAACATTTTTTTTTCCATAATAAAGTGCATTACATTAGCTTTAATTTAAGATATATATAAAAGTGTCAGACTTTCCGGACATTTTCAAAATTTAAGTTAAAAAAATTAATTTTTTGTGAAAAAGTTGTCATTTTAAATCCCCCCCTGTGGGCAGGTAATGGGTCATATATAAAAAAAATATATACCAAATGAAAAGTAATGATGTCATGCATCTATATAAAACAAAAATTATGTTGATTAGGTCATTTTTAAAAAAGTTATAGCAATTTTAAGTACAAAAAATTGAAAAAATTTTGAAAATTAGCGATTTTTAAATTTGTAATTTTTTGGAGGTTTCCCCCATTTACGGGGAACGAGGGGATTTTTTTCAATTTTTGAGGGTAATGTCTTCGACTAGATAAGATTTGTGATCTTTTGACGTACTTCGCATCGAAGCTAAAAGTATTTTTGAAATGCTTATTTAATAAACATTTCAAAAATAGTTTTATTTTATTCTTTTCTTTTAAAACGGTCTATTGATACTAAACCCTGGGATACAGATGTTAGATGTAAAGAAGTTTTATTATTATTTGCAATTCTAGAAAACTTCATATATTAAGACAAATATTTTACATGTTTACAATTTTTTATCTTTAGGTTTCTTCAACCAAAAATTCTAGTTTTTACAATGGAATTTCATGAATTCAATAATACTGGCTATTGGGGCCCAACCACAGCTACCATAGATTGGTGTGAAAAGAACTACGAAGTAAATTATTACATTGCTGAATTTTGTAAGAAAAATTAAATTAAGTTAATAGTGAAGTATGATAATAAAAATGTGATGTTGATAAAATTTGACTAAATTTAATGTACTTTTATAGCTATAAAAATTATAGAAATCTAAAAAAGTCAAGAATTTATATATTGTACTGGTGTGTTAGAAACAAATGCAGGATTTAATTTCTCAATTATTTTATTAGAAATAATAAAATCACAAAAAAAAAAACATTGATATATCCTTTAAAATTTCTGATTTTTGTTTGACAGACATCTTGTATGTGCTCCACATGATTGTGGCCATAGACTAAAAACAAAAGGTTGATTAAATGTTTTCAAATACTTATTTCTTAGTTAACAAAGGATTCGCTGCTATAGAGTATAGATATATAAATGTATTTTTGGTTTTACTTTACATACCTTTTGCTGATCTCTCAAAACTTAGTGATAGTATCACAGACTACACTTTTACTAGCCTTTTTTTGATCTATTATGACTTAAGTTAAGTTCATTATTAAAAACACCTTATTTCTGTAGCAATTTTACTACCAGTATAAATAACTATCGAGTAAGCCATGATATGGTAAAAAAAAACAAAAGAATGAATTAATAACTTGTTGAATCTAAATTTGGAATGATAACACATTATAAAAATAATAAGAAAATTTCTCCCAGGCTAAATTAAAAGTATAGGAATATTGTAAATTCTGAAGATGTTTCTAACAAACCCTAAGGTGATTGATTAATTATTCTTCACACAAAATTTTTAAAATATAAACATACTAAAATTTTTTATCTTGAGTAGTTAATAGTATCCTATGTTCTATGATATAAAAAAAAAATTGTTCTTTACCCCCCTCCCCTTTAAAGTACTTATGTTTTTTAAATGTAAACATTTAATGTTTCCATTAACTTTTGTTTAATTAACTTAAAAATAAGAAAATGACTGGTTAATAATAGCTTTTAATATAGTATTTTAAAATATATTAGTACTTTTATACTATGGTAGGAAGAGTAGTGTAGTTATGTATACCATAGAGAAAAAAAAGCACACCCATTTTACTTCTTCCGTTCTAGTATAAAAGTGCTAATTTCTTAAAATACTGTTTCAAAAGTTGTTATCATCTAGTAATTTTCTTATTTTGAAGCTAATTAAATATATTTGTTTTCATTTAAAAAACTTAAACTGATGCTACATTAAAGGAGAAAGAGAAAGAGAGAAACAAATTTTTTTTTTGAAAATAATAGAAAAAAGGATATTATTTAATTTAGAAAATAAAATTATAATAAGTTTTATATTTTTTTTATGTGAGACATAATATTTGATTGATAAAATTAATTTTACTTTAGATTTTTTTAACAGGGAATACTTTAAGTAACTTAATGATGATAATACCACCTTTATGGGGAATTTGGGATATGAAAAAACAAAAATTTGCTCGTAGATTTCTGTTTTGCTATTTATGCATTATGGGTAAGTTATTTTGTTTCTATAAGGTGATTTAATGAAATATTAAACTTATTAATTCATTTAATAAATTATATGAAATATTTTAATTAAAACACATTGTATATCCAAAAAAAATAAAAAAAATTGTAATTTTCAATATTTGTTTCAAAGTTTATATTATTTTAATTATAAAATATTGCAACTTTGTAATACAGTTGTTGGAATGGGCAGTTGGGCATTTCATATGACACTTTTGTACAAAATGCAGTTGTTTGATGAATTACCAATGGTCTGGGGAACATGTTACTGTATTTATTGCTTGTAAATATTTTATTTATTCAAAATATTTTAAAAACTTTATGAAAATATTAATTGTGGTACTTGTTATTTTTAGATCAATTATAAAGTACAACGTCAAATCTGAAACTGCATTACCTAATAAATTATTATTGTTTTTGTTAACAATTATTAGTGTTGGATTTGCTGTAATCTATCTTATGTGGCCACAACCTTTATTGCAGCATATATGTTATGGTGTATTAGTTTTTATATCATTAGTACAAGAAATAAAAATTATAATTGAATTTAAATGTGCTATTTGCAAAAAACTGTTTGCCGTTGCATTAGCATTATATCTCTTTGGATTTTTTCTATGGAATATTGATAATATATTCTGTAAAGATCTTACGTAAGTTTATTTATTGTACAACACTTAAAACTTTTTCAATTACATAGCATTACTGCATAGTTTTTAAAACTATCATTGAATAAGACAATTGAAAATGCATTAATAGATATATGACTATTTAGGAAAGTTTTATTTTATTTCAAAATTTTAATGAATCTTTTTTGAAAAATATGCTTAATATTCCCATAATAGACTTTTTAAGTGATTTTATTACCAATCAAAAAAAAATTATTTGTGTTTTTTAAACCATTATATTCCAGAAAATAACTCCAGGAATTTATGAATTCCTAAAGACTTTCAAATCTAAAAATTATTCTTAACCATTATTTTAGGAATTTAGAGTGAACTTTATTTGTATGATAGTGTTTTTTACTTTTGAGTCTATTATATTGTTTTAATCATTTTGTTAATTACTTGTGTACTGTTTGACTTATAAGGCGTAATTTATTTGTTTATTTTGGAATAAATAAAATAATAATTATCATTATAATTAAATTATTCTGACAAGTTTTTTACTTAAATATTTTTTAATTCTCATTTTTGAACTATATAATAAAGATAATTTGTTTTTGGAAGATGTAAAAAACATTAAATCACCCTTATCTCAGCATGTAAGGATATGAAATAAAATTCTCTATAAGTATAATTTTCTAATATTTGAGTAAACTTAAAATTAAATAAAAATTTTTTTCTACAGGTATTTACGAGAAAAAATCCCCATATTATTAAGACCAATTTCTCAAATGCATGGTTGGTGGCATATATTTGCAGGTTATGGAGTTTATGTTCAAGTTTTATTTTGGTAATATTAAATTTTGCCTTGTAAAATTTAGCAAAATTTCTTTGTTGTTTACTTATTATAACCAAATTTCTTTTTAGTATACATTCCACATATGATTACCATAAAAAGTTAAGACAAACTGATATTTTATTGCCAATGCATTTATATTTTACCATACGCTGGAGAAATACTGAAAAAAAATATTGATCTTATTTATTTTATATTTAAGTTAAATAATTTTAAAATATGTATCTTGTAATATATACAAAATATGTTATACTTGTACAATGATAATTTTACAACTATAATTATAACTACCACCAAGGTAGTATGAATGCTATAATTATTGCCAATTTTTTTTTATATTACAAATAGTCTAGTAATTGTGATATATAGTGATAATTTTATATGAACTCTGTGGTGCTTGAGTAATAATTCCTAAATTAAAAAATTAGTTTTTAAATACCTAAATTTATCATACTTATAAGTTTTTATTGGTTAAACAATTTAGACTGAAATACAATTTTACTAGCTAATTTAAACTTCAAAAAATTAGAAGTTACTTACAAAGTAAAAATGTGTTAAACTTCGATTTTTAATACTTTGTTTGTTAGATTGAAAATTTTTGATCCAAGCACCATAGAATTGCCCTTTTTTTTTAAATAATTGAATTTAATTTTACTTAATTAAAAAAATTATTTTATTAATATGCTTGAAAAGTACTGAAATACTTGTAAGTATTTACTTACACGTAATACTGATTTAGATTATTATTATTATTATTTTTTTTTTTTTACAAATGACTACTGTGCCTAATAATTGTTTATTTTAAATAACTTAAATTAAGTGATTAAGTTTATCATTTGTACAAAAAGCTTATGTTGAAAAATGTAAATTATATTTATTATTATACAGCTCTAGTCACTGGAAAATAAGTTCATAATTTTTTTATTTGTAGTGATCTCATATTATTTTGCTTAAATAACTTATTTTATAAGTTTAAAAATTTTAAAAATAAAATATTTATAACACTTTGATTATTATTGCTTTTAATTATATATGATTATTCGTTTTCATTATTTTCATGGTTTATGTTGAATATTTGTTTAATAAATAAAACAATGAATTTTTTTAGGGTCCAAAGCATCTAAGCATAGTGTACCAGGGGTTGGAATTTTTAAAATTTTTAAGAGCTAATTTTAAAGAGGTAATAATATTTTTCGACAATATTCTTTTTTACTTATTTCTATTATATTTTTAATGTTTGTATGATAGTCATGAATTGACCAAGTAAAAAATTAGTTACTTGAAAATTTAACTATTTAGCATCATATAATTCATTTATACTGAAATCAAGTATTTGTTTGAGATGGTATTATTGTTAGTCTTCACAACAAATATGTTTTTTTAAGAGAATTTTTGTTATGCTACTATCAACCAAAAGTAATGACGGGCAATTTTTAAAAACGAATAAATTTTTAAATTTTTTTTAAATATAAATACATTAATGTGCAGATAATTAATAGAATAATGAACTAAAAATCGCTTTTGAACCCTGGAAAAATCTAAAATAAAAAAAATTATACTTGCATGATCAATTTCATCATAGTAGATGGTTAATTAGTGATATGTTACTAAATATCTGTTTTAGTCTTTGATATATAATTACTAATATAACGCTTTGATAGTTTTTAAGCACATACTTTTATTTACAACACAAATTTATTTTAAATCAGAAATTAAATAAATTACGGACAAAATTTCATAGGATACGAAACAAACGCGACGATAACTCCAATTTATCGGAATACGATCGTCGATGTCGGTCAAATGGAGGCTGCTTTCTCTTTTATCGCGTCTCCAAAAATTTCACAAAATCTCAAAAACGACGAGGTGTAAATTTTTTTTTAAATTTTCATTAAAATCAATCAATTTAACAATAAAATCACCAAGTCAGAATCGATTTTAAAATCGAAAAAATAATCTTATAGAAATTATTTAATTGTATTTTTTTTTTTTTTATTATATTTTTCCATAATAATCACTTACCTTAGTTCATAAATAAGATATTATATAATATTTGATTAATTATTTCTTTTTCATATAGTTATACCATAAAACAGCTAATTAATCATCGGTATGCTATTATGATTTTGAATGTTAATTATTATTGTGATATTAACATAAGTAAAATTTTAGCACAATAAGACATATAACCCTACGAACTGGTTTTTGATAGCAGTGATGTAAGTTGAACAAAAGTTTAGGACATCCAGTGCCGTAGCCAAAAAGCGACTAAAGGTTTACCCCATTGGGCAATTATTATTAATTACATAATAAGACTTGCGCTACGATAAACTGTTCGACTTTGGGAGGAAAATTTTAAGAAAAATGTATGGACCTATTTTTCGATGAAAATAAGGAAAAATGGTTAAGGAGGTCAAATGAGGAACTGAAGAATGAATTATTATTTAAAAGAGGACATAGTGCAGTTTGTTAAGAGTTCAAGACTTCCCTGGGCTGGGCATACGTGGAGAGCTGATAGGTCTCTTATAATAATAGTAATGGTGAATCAAATAGATCGGAAAAGACCAAGGGGATATCCAAGGCAAAGATGGCTAGATGTGGTTAGAAAAGATCTAGAGGAGTTAAAATCGGACTGGGTCGGAAACTTCTCTAGTCTACGCAAAAAAAGTATGGGGGAATCGCTTTTAGAAGCAAAAAACCTAAATGGCTCGTAAAACGTTTTTTTTTTTAAAGACTTACGATAGTAAGAGTATGTGATAAGTCAAAAAACAAAAAAAAAAAAAAACCCAGCACAGGGGGGTCGCGGCACAGTGGTGACGTGGCATAGTTGGATCAAGTATAATGATATCTGACAGTGATTAAAATCACTATAAAAAAAAACGCTTCGATGCAAATCTTTAGATAGTGTTTAATTTTAAAAAATTGTTGGATTATTCCAAAAGCTTCATAAACTGCTAGTTCCTTATTAATATCCTGATTAAGACAAAGTATGTCGAATAAAAAAGAGATTATTAGAAAATAGTATTTCCCATAAAAAAATTATATTGATCAATACACTTTTCAATAAGTTATAGCATTATAATGTTAAAAATGTAAAAAATAAAATTGAGAATTTTCACACAATAATAGCATTTGGTAGCCATTTTCACCTTGAAGATAAAATAAAGTCCGAAATTTTTTTTTTCCATGATAAAGTATATTACATTAGCTTTAATTTAAGATATATATAAAAGTGTCAGACCTTCCGGAACATTTTCAAAATTTAAGTTAAAAAAATTAATTTTTTGTGAAAAAGTTGTCATTTTAAATCCCCCCTTGTGGGCAGGTTAAGGGTTAAATTTATGAAAAAAATATACCAAATGAAAGGTAATGATATTATGCATCTATATAAAAAAGAATTATATTGATATGTTTATTTTTGAAAAAGTTATGGCACTTTTAAGTAAAAAAAATTGAAAAAATTTCGAAAATTAGCGATTTTTAAATTTGTAATTTTTTTGGAGGTTTCCCCCTTTTACGGGGAACGAGGGAATTTTTTTCAATTTTTAAGGGTAATGTCTTCGACTAGATACGATTTGTGATCTTTTGACGTATCATTGAAAGAAATCGGTTCGGTGAGAGCTGAGAAAAAGTGGTAACAGACACACAAAAAAAAAAAAAAAACACATCTTAGTAAAACCAATACCTTCTCAGCTTCGCATCGAAGCTAAAAGTCTTTAAAAAATCCTGGTACGACACTCCACCCACCTGATAAATGTAATTTTAAAAAATTATTTAAAATGATTTTTTTGCTTATTTTAAGTAAAACAACACCAAATGTTAACGATGCACAAATAATTATGAAGAATCAAGGGTCAGATTAAAAAAAAATTTTCCGTTTATTGTTTAAATATATCATAATGTTATCCAGAGGTGCTGAAACCATTTTTTAAAAAGGGGCAAACATTTATTGTCTAAAAATAGGTCTCTTTAATTATTAACAAAGCTAAAAAACGCTTGTACAGTAGGATCGTGACACAGTAGAAACGTGGCCTAGTTAGAACAAGTATAGATGATATCTGATAGTGATTATAATCACTGTCATAAGAAACGCTTCGATGCAAATCTGTAGATAGTGTTAAATTTGAAGAAATTGATGGATTATTCCAAAAGCAAAAAAACTCCTAATTTTTGTTCTACTTCGACTGCATTTGCACATAGAAGATAGGTAATCAGTACAATTGTTTTTTTTATTTAACTCTAGTACATAAAATAAGCTTTAATTTAACATATGTTTAAAGGACGCAGTATTTGCGAACATTTTAACATTTTCAAAAGTTGAGTTTTGTAAAAAAGTTGCTTTTTTCAATCCCTCTGTGAGCAGGTAAAGGGTCAGATTATCGTAAAATTTATATTAAATGAAAAGGAAATACGTAACGTGTTTATATAAAAAAAATTATTTTGGTTCGTTCATTTTTCGAAATGTTACGACAATTTTAAGTACTAAAATAACATTGATTTTTTACACGAAAATTATATTTTTTAGCTATAAGTAGTCAATTTTTAATATATAAAAACTGGCTTTTATGAAATTTTAAAACAACTTTTATAATTATAAAAAAAATTATTTTTTAATAGTAACGTATTTTAACGTAGTAAGTATATATTAATTATTAAAAAAAATTGTAAGAGCTAAATGTAAACTAATAGTTATAACAGTTGTCAGTTAGATCTGTTCCACTCTGTATATTTTTCAAGAACAAATATTTTGTACATTATTTGGATTGACTTCTAAATTGGCAATTATATTTATTAATATAGTACACTTGGGAATCATTAAACAAATTTATAATTAAAACATTATTAGTATACATAATGCAAAAATAGTATTTTTTTATTACTGATATTAGCAACATCAATGCAAATAAATACGCAGTATTTTATTAGTTTTTAACTACCCCTAAAGACTACCCCTCCATAGAGGTTAGTTGGTGATATGATTTTTTTAGGTAGCTAAATGTAATTTTTCCCCTACAAAAAATAAATATATATAACAATAAATATGACTTTTCACAATTTTTAGGAAGCTATATCCCTCACCAATACCTATGACTATGGATTTCCTCCCAATAAAAAAACTGAAATAACGCCCTTGTTTAAAAAATATATTTAGAAAAAAAAAGTAAAAATAATAGTGATTTATTTACAGTTTACAAGGTTTATTTAATGTTATAAAACAAATAAACAAAAATTCAATAAATAAATAAATAGTAATTACATCTTAATAAAATCTAACAATAATAAAAATTAATATTTAAGTATGTTAATAAATATAATAATAAAAGGGAAACATTACAAAAAAGTATTTTGTTGACAAGTATAATACATAACCAACTTTAAATTTTTGTATTATAAATAATGTACAGATATATGCTTAATTAAAATCATCGGTTTTGTATTAGTTACAATTTAATTTAATTAATTTATCTTCTATTAATTACATAATTATTATAAAAAGTCATCATTAATTAGTATTTGTAAATTGTTGTGACGATTCCTATCTTAATTACTGAGAAATAAATAATTACATTTTATTAAATTAATTTTCTAACCTTAATTGAACATTAAATAAATATTTACAAACTTCACTTTATTGATAACAATTGTAGAATATCATAACTTAAAATGGGTATTAAAAAATATATTTGGATAGATGTTACTTTTCTTATGACGTTTATGTACGCATTAAATTTGCTCACATGGAATATTTTGACTATATTCTAATAAATAATTAAATTCAATAACAACACGATATAATGAATTGTGTTAACTATATTTAGAAATCTATATTTTGATCATTAAAATACAAAACATGTATATAAATAAAATTTTAGATTATTGAAGGAGTAAAAATTAATTCTTTTAAAATTAGTTGTAGATGCTTTTAAAAAAAATTATAATATTAAAATTATAAAGTAAATATATATGTTTACTTTAATATTTTTAAATATTTAAAAAAAATAATTGAACAGTATTATCTAATTTGATTGTCATCGTTGAATATCCTAAGAATTATATATTTGTACAAAATACATAGATTGTTTTTAGAAGTATATATATAGGTATAAATAGCTATGTAATATTAAACAATCGTCTTAATAAAAAAATACTTAGGTACTTGACATTTTTTACATAATAAAATATAGTTACAGGTAATTTAACGTATTCAATAATTCATAAAACGCACAGATTTGGCAGTAAAAATAATTAAATTTTACTATAATTTACATTTAATAATGCGTTTACAGGTAATATGCATTTATAACTAATTAATAACTGTAAATATATATCATTTTGAGCACCAATATTGACATTAAATTAAATTTTTGTAAGTATTAGAGGTTGCGGGCACAAAATGCAAAGCAATATTTATTATTTTTATGATAAAGCCATATGGCATGACTAATAGTAATCAAATTCAATTACAAAACCTATGGTGCCAAAACATTTTTTAGGAGATTTCTATATTTTTATGGTTATAGTGAACTAAACTAATTTAAGGATACGGTTCAAATAAATTTCAATAATAAGTAATAACTCAAACGAAAAGTATAAAATTATTATTTTTATGAAAATACCTTTAAAATTAAGTAGGTGGCCTATTAAAGGCATATTTTTCAATATGCCTAACTATTCCGTTTGACTTGAGGTGTAGTCGTGTTTGGGTTTTTGGATGCTATTAGTTTATTGAGGGCCATAATTCCTGCTAACGAGGTGTGGAAGTATCCAGTACCGTTAACATCGGGTGATACTGAGGCAGTGGTGACATGGTTTTGGCGAATATGGTGCTGCGCGGCCATGATTTTCTGTTTCTCGCGTTTTACTTGGTATTTGTACAACTGGAATCCTGCTACGATTACTGACACGATAGCTGAGCCAGCGAACATGACGAATAGAGCGCCAAATCCGTGAACGGGCATACATATACCGTAAACCACGTCTTCGCGTATCCGTCCCTGGAAAATGGTTACGGCGTCTGTCTTGGTGTCTGGTGTAAACGCCAAGTCCGACTGCGATATAACGTCATATAATCCACTAACGCCTACGTCAGCTGTACCGATGTCAGACACGTTAACCGATCGTCTACGACGGCGCCGTTTTTGCGCCGTTAACCCCACGTCCGTATCATTTGATATTGTCGTATCGTCTTCGTTTGTAGACGCCTCGTCGAGGTTACGAGGTCCGTGAGGGAATCCATCACGGTTCAGTGTGTCCTATAGGAAAAAAAAAATAAAAATTCAAGTCGTAATGATTTACGGTAAGAGGTTATAATAATTCATAATACGGGTTGTTCCCATAGTTACCTTTTGCGGAGATGTCTGCGGTATATTACCAACAACAAATGGCGAGTGATGTCCTGTTTGTGCTTGGGCGCTGGGTTGATCGGTGTTGACTGTAGAATCTTGTAAATGTTCAATAGGTTCGCTAGATAAGGTTTGTTGGTCTTTTCTGTCAACCGAACCATAAAGCTGTTGTTGCTGTTGCTGTTGTTGCAATAAGTGTCCGGTCGAACGCTCATCTGTTTGACAGTGATCCATACATCCATGGCGGCATATTTCCACCTTACACCGTATGTGTACACTGAGTGCATCTGGGAATTTGAACGCGTGGAAAAAGGCGTACGTAATGACGGACGCCCGTTCATCAGAAGTACGAGCCTTCAAAAATCCGCTGATCATCTTTGGCCGAAGTACACATCCCTGATCGTCTGTCAACTGTATGACATGACCACCTCCATCACTGGCCGCGCAAGATTTTACACGCATATCGAATTCGCCTATAAAATTGAATGCAAAAAAAGGACAATTATAATTAACGACGATCAAAGACGTCTAATAGATCACGAATAGACTCTTACGTCCAGCGGGGGATATTTTAATATATTTCTTTACGAATATAGGAACGGCTTATTTTTACGTATAGTTTTTTTCACTCAATCAGCATACATTCTAAATTAAATCAAATCTTTAATTTAGATCTGATCGTAAAAATTATGGGGTGAACTATCGAAAACGTAATCTGAACACTTAATATTATCAATATTAATAATATTAATAACATCAATATTATTGTCAAAAAAGATATCAATTCAGTTATATCTTTCATAAAAAATAAAGAATTCTATTATTTTTTTATTGTAAATTAATTAAGTTAGTACTTTTGAGACAGGTTAAGCTTACCTCTAAAATCATTGATGGCCACTACCAGAGTCAAGGTAGAACCTAAAGGAACGATACCGCTTACTGGCGGAGCCCATGGACCTTTGCCATGCTGAATTTCCATCCAACAATCGACGTTATCACCTGCAAAAGTATTTTTACGATTTCAATAATTATGAGAAACTATTGATCGTATGTATACAACAATTAATAAATAAAATAGTGATAATTACCTCTAAAGTCTAACTGGATAACATCCAGGTCTGCTATGACCATGGGCGGCTTAGAGGCGGTCTTCTCGTAATCGTTGTACCACTCGCACCGGAGCCGTTTTGCTTCATCCCACACTTCCAATAAGTCTTTGTCGTATTGGATCACTACGGTGTTCTCATAAAATTGACCGTTCAAATCGGGTTTAGTGCCACATCGGGCATACGCTATGCGAAACGTGTAGAATGTTTTTCCAGAGGATGGCGGTACATATACACAACGCGGGTCACCGTATTGGCCTTTGGATGACACAATGCCCTCAAACGGCTGCGTGAACTGTAGATGAACATCCATGTGATCTTTCCCGCACATTACTTCTAGCGACTGAATGACCGGCATACCGTCCGGCCTCTCCAAGGGCCAAATGTCACCGTTGCCAGCACTCATTGAACTATTTGCCATGATCTATAGAAATCACAATAAAATTTTAATAGCATGTCAAAATAAACTTTAAACAATCATGGTATTGTATTTTGGTTTTAAAATTGATAGTCAGGTGTAATTAAAATGAAAATTAAGAGAATATGGCATACAATTTTTGAACCATTTAAAGTTTTTTATTTAAAGACTTTATATTTAAAATTATATAAATATCATTCATACAGTTGAAGAATTAGAACTAATAGAATCCATAGATTAGGAATTTGATGTTTTTGTACCCTTACGTGTTTTCTAAAATAACGGTTGATCAATACAATATATTTATATTCATAATATCTTATATATACAGTGTCTTAGACCTAACTGACAACGCTTATAACTTTTGATACAATTATCATTTTGTTGAAATTAAAAAAAATAACTATTGCCCTCTTAGACTACGTTTAAAGAATATTATTTTAAATTAATTGTTAAAAGTGGGTATGGAAGACGAGTTTCCGACCGACATATTGCAAGCCGTCCTGGAACTGCCGTTAGGCATTAAGTCAAGATGACTCACGTCATCTTTATAATTCACACCACCATGTTTTCACTCAGCCGAATTTAATTAAGAGATGAGTCACAATATGACTTGGCTTCCCCTGTTAGCCAGACCTAAAAGTTGGATTCGTTGCTTGGGCTGTACCACGTAGAGGTGGGGACAGGATTTTTCAAACGATTGTTTCTAATAGCTCATAATACAAAGAAATACAAATGCACCATCTTAAGGTGGCGGCTGGAACCAACACCTAAGATCTTCTTGACGTGGACTCTTCTGCCTCTGACGTCTGGCTGACTCTTTTGGATCATCACCGACTCAGCGAATATCTGAACCAGAGACCTCCTCTCCTTACTCCCAAGCATCAGGTTCACTATGCTTGGACCCCGAACCTGATCCTCAGCCAAACTCAAGAAGCTTTCATTCTGGGGTTTAGGCCTTGCAACGGAAGAGTGTTTGTAGAGCGTCGTCGACACCTCCAGGCGAGCACGATAGTGGTCATATTACGGCGTGGCTGATCTGTGTATCCCGTGTAGGTATGCGTTGAAGCAGCCGTATCTGGACCACACTTGTGTAAGACGATATGTTATTTTTCTGGGTGTTCGACAAACCCAATTATCGAGTTGACAAGATCCAATGAGCGATCGGCTTCATCAAGAGGACGACCTCGCTGTCTTCGTCTCTTATGGCCAGTGGTGCGTTCCATAGTCAGGAGTTCCGCCGGCAACGGGAAGACGAACATCCCCGCCGCAACCCAGTGCGACAGGGCGGTACGCCGACAGTATACGTAATACCAGTACAAGCTAAAGCTACCCTCACTACATAACCATTTCTAATACGTTCTAATTATATAAGTAGTGCTAGATATCATAATTTATATTTTAATGGGTATGTTAAAAAAAATTTATATGTAAATGGCACACAATCCATGAAATTACTAAAAAAATGTATTATAACTGACGAAATTTTTTGTTTTATTTCTAAAATATATATTCTGATTTAATTATTTACCAGGTTTATTTTGATGAGAAAAGTTTGAATTAATAATAATTAAGATTAAAAAGATGGGTGTACACGACGGGTTTAGTCATAATTAATAATTGAAATAACCCTTAATAAATTTGTAGAATACAACTATGTGAAACTATATGTTTTATGAATAATAGCAAATAGTGTAGTTTTATGTTATCTTTAGAGGTTTGTTGCACAAAGGGAAGACTTTCTGAAGCCTAGTGATGTACAGTAATTTATTGTCATTTTCTTCTTATAGGAACAATATAGACATAATTTGTGTAGGGAAATGTTAAAACCAGTGGCATTGATTCTTATATACATGTGTTGCGGTTACAATAAATGTATAAGATAAATGGTATATAGAGAGATATGCTTATCCTAATGAATGTTCATAATTTCACGAAAAAGATTTCTACTGATATGATTTCATAAATAAGTAATCAACAAAAAAATCTATAGAAATCTTTGAGGTGGTAGTGTTTTCGTTAAAAATTTTTATCGTGTAATATAAATAAAATTTGACATCGGCGTCTCTGGTTAAAACTATAACCATCACTTTTATGAATTTTTTTATTAGTAGTTGTTTTAATTAAAGGAGAGATATAGATATTTATAAGTGACTTAAGTCTCGTTTAATCCTCATGGCGCCATCTATGAATAACAACCATATTACAAGGTTCATACACGGTCAATTATAATAATAAATTAGTATGGATATTTATACATGATTATTCATTGCATTAAATTCTATATACAGTACACTTAGACTAAAGTCATAGCTTACGTTTAGTCTGTAGTCTAATCTAGAATAGCTGCAGTGACTAATACTTTATTTTTACTGGTAAAAATGAGTTTCGACGGTAATTAAAACCCAACGCTTTAGGCATTTTCTCCATCTCTGCAAGAGGTCAAATCACCCATTACTCTTCCACACTATTATTAATTTATATTATGTGTTTTTTTTTTTATGATCGTGATATGTATAAACACGAATAGTATATCGCCAGTATTAAAGCAGTACAAAAACTTCTCCATGATACCATTTCAGACACAATGGCGTCAGGTGAGTTATTATCGGTTTTAATTTGACAAGTAAATTGAATTGATTATGAATGATTAACGATGTATTAAAATTTATTAATAATATATCGATTGGATATAAATTTGTTTTTACCTATTATTGTGATTTATATTCTTTAGGCACTGTATTTTTTATTGATTACTTCTGGATCTCAGTTCTTTACTTTAGAAGATTTCATTCAATATTGGAAATTACAGAAACTTAAGTTAATTTATAAAATTTCAACTATCTAATGTCGATTTAAAATTAAGTATAATTATTTAATTTTTTTTCATTCGATTACATATTGGGTTTCGATATTTAATGTTGCAGGTTTAAATTGAACTATTTACTAAGAAAAATATATTCGATAATTTTATTCAATAATGAATAATTTAACTAATGTAAGTTTCATCCTGCAAGTAATATAATTTCAATTAATGTTGTTTTACATCTAATTCTTATTTTTCACTCTTGAACGATATTTTTTAAATTGATATTTTAAAAATTATCTGAATTAGATTCACCATATTAAATAAAACACCGTGACTTCTTTGTTGGATTAACAGAAAAATATTATATAAAATATCCAAGACATTGAATACAAGTCTTTATCGTTCGTTTACAATAAAATGAAAAATGACATTTGATTTGTAGGTTAGCAAATAGTAAGTATTCATTAAATTTATTTCGCACTAAATTTTTCTTTATACGACGAAAAATTTAACAATTTTTTTTCATAGTTTAGAGAGTGTATACATATTTATTGTTCGAAACAGATACAATTGAACGTATGCGATAAATTCATTCATTGAGTTTGTGATGTTCAGCTAAAAATTACTCTGATATTTTATTTCCTATAAAAATTATTTTATTTTTTATTATAGATATCGATTTCTATTTCAATGTCAAATTGCTAAGGTATTGATTATAACAAGATGCCTACTTCTTTTTGAATGTATAATTAATTGTAACAATTTTAGCTGTTGAAATAAATTTAAGAAAGTGCATATAAATTTTGTATTTTCACTAATAGAATGATTTAGAGTAGTAGTAAGTAGTTAATTTATTTACATGTTATTTATTATTAGTTTTAAGTAATATTATTTCTTTAAATCTATATAGAAGTCATTTATTTTCACAAGGATTTTATTATCATGTAGGATATTTGAAGGATACTTTCCAAAAATTCAGGGAAGTTACATATAATATATGTAATTCTAAAATATTAGAAATAATATAGGAGAGATTAAAATGATTTTAACCTCCTTATTTTTTTTTCAAATTCCGCTTATGCTCATTATTTAAAAAAACAATGTATATGCGTGCACACGTGTTATTACACTGAGATATTAATAACTTCAATTAACTTTTTCATCCGCTACAAGATTTTGCCACTAGGATTTTTTATAAGTTATAGATTTCAAATGTAATACTATTTCGGGGGTAAATTAGAGGGAAAACAAACAAATTTCATGCGAATAAGTTAATTGACGCCATTGCCAATCAATGTTTAACTACTTAATTGACAACGAGAAAAATACACATTTTTAACAGGTACATGATTTTGACCATGTTATGCATGTGTTATTATATTATCATTTTAATATGACAAGTCCTGTCCTTGTAGCTCTTAATAAAAAAAATGCATAATATTAAAATGTTTCATGACGTAAAAACTGGTCCTCCGACAATGTAAATTCGGTCATTAACCTAACTTTACTTTATTAACACTTGTATAACAAATGTAGATATTATTAAAGTCTATTATTCGTCTTTTCCTGTGGCATACTTTTCAATTGTTGTAATTATTTAGAGATTTATGATAATGACATGATTATCAGTGCACGAATCGTTTGTCAGTCTCATGTCGGCTGTTTTGTCAACACCATTAGTGAATATTTCATAAATTTTACACTTCCAAATAACATTTATAAATACTTCCTAACTAGATGTGTGTAATTAAGTTTAAATTACTTATGCGAAATACTTGTTATTATGAGAGTTGTAGTCATAAAAAAAAATTCACTAGTATACATATTTTTTTTTGCCTACACGTTTTACTTATACGAATTTAATAGCATAGTTCAGGTCTGGAAAATAGATACTAGATAGGTTAGAAGAAGAAAAATATTTACTGTAAATTATGATAGATGATGGTCGTCAGCATTCGTTTTATGAATTAGACGGGTAGGTAATCTTACAAAAACAACGGTATTGTAATTATGAAAGTAATATCCGAAGTTAAAAAGGAGTTCTTATTTAAGTAAAAGTATATTATATGATGTTTATCCCATTAATAAAATGTTACTGTATTTTCTATGGTAGAATATATTGCCTGTTTGTAAAAGTTTAAGCTGAGTATGACTCATTATAACAAGAAAATCGAATGTTCACACTTAGACAGTGATATCGTCTTTTGATTATTGGAGTCACACGAAAACCAGTTGTACATGTTTTATTCAAACCAACGGTAAACTAGTTTAGGTAATCAATAAAGCACGTGACTTGAACCGCCTGCACACGTGGATATGACCTCACAAGTCGATCCACCCCATTGATGAAAATCTTACGCGATAACAATACATCAATGAGCAAACAATGCGTTAAATGATCGTAACAACATTTTGAATGGCTTGTAGGATAAGTACAATTTGTTGATATCCAACAATGATAAAATTATCAAGTGTATTATTGTTACAAAATCGAACATATGGAAATTTAAAATAATCTCAAAATTGAAGTCGATAAGTTAAATACAGTTGATAGAAAATAGAAATTATTATCAGTTCTTTCAAAATTTCACTGTTATATAATCTCATTATTAAAAAAAAGAAAAATTATTCCTACGAATTAATAGAATTTTAAATTTTATAGTGGGATTGGAATAATAAACACATAATTTTTGTTTTGTAAGATCTATGAAAAAATTTGGCGGAATTAGACCATCAGTTCCTTTTAAGGGCGTAGTGGAGTTTTATTTTTAGGGAACTATCAAGTTCATTCGACCGACTGATTGACTTTTAACATTCAATCTAACTTATTTAATAATGAAAAAAATCTTTTTTCGCCGATTGAGGTATTTACGGGAAGCAAACTACCATTTCCACAGTTTAGTTATATCCCTAGTTTTATTTAGATTGCTCCTATACGGTAGGTAAAATGAAAATAGTAGGTTGAAATATTGCGAATAAATAAATGTTTTACTGTAAATCTTGATCTATCTTAATATTCAAGAAGAAAGTGTAATTTGGTATTCCGATTAGAAATAGTCACCATATTTATACGTTGCCTTAATTAAATTTTTAATAGCAAGCGAACGTCGGGTTAGGTTTTTCTAAAATCGATCCGGATATTGGATAAATTTAGGGCCTATGTTGGATAAATATTTATAACTGAACTAGTTTGTTCTTTATAAAATAACCTTTTCTTAACCCAACATGAAAACAACGGTTTTTTATTATAAAATATTTTATGTCGACCACAAATCTCAAGAACAGTTTCGGTAACATCCTACACGTTTTTTTAAATTTGTTCGAACCACATGTTTTATAGAAATAATTGAGTGATGCAATTCAGTAATATAACATTATTTAAATATTTCTAATCAAAAAATTATAAGATCAAGTTGGTGTAATAAACTGTGGTAATTTCTGTCAATTTTTTTGGTTAACAAAACACTTTTTATAATTTGAATTTTGATAAAGGTCAAAATATATTTAAACGTTTGGTTCTATACCTCGTCTTAAAACATACAGTATAGCTGATTTGTACATAATCGGATACAGGTTTTACCGGTTGTTTTAAGCGTCAAGTACAATACGATCGACATCAATAAGAGTATCGTTACGTTGCAGTCATTTCAGTCTTCAAAGCTTAGTTTTTAATACGTTTTTGATCATTTACAGGATTAATTTTCCATAGCAATGACAGTTTGACAATAACCGCGTGAAACACAGTAAATTAACGTTGGCAGATACAAAACGTGTCTGTGTGAGGTTTTGTAATTTAATTTAACTATGCGGTTTCGGAATAGAATTTTCGAATCTGTTGCAATTCTCATTGAAAAGAGTTAGGGTATGGTTGTTTTATTGGAGCCCGAGGGGTTCATACTTTGGAAATGATTATTATTATATATTTCCATGTTTCCGCATGCCTATGTGGTTGGTTAATGAAATCATCGTGGCTGACGACGAGGGAACCACACCGTCAGTAAAAAAAGACCCAACGGCCAGTCGTTACTTTGCATGGAAATCATGTGATGGCCGTTTCAAGACTTGCACTACGTTGGAAGAAAACCAGAAATATAAAAATGTAAATGCGCGTATTAGGACCATGTATTTGTGTATGACGGCGGCGTCCAGTTTTGTAAAAACTTTATTTAACGGGGATATTTAAAAAATGTATATTATTAAATCATTTTATAGGAAAGAGTAGAGGACATTCCAGTTTTTTTTTTCTACAAAAAAAACATTAACGACGTCTTTGACCTGTGGTGGCATTTCGACGATGGACTATTTTACAGCAACATTGTGTACCGGATTATTAAAACAATAATTCAGAAGCTGGCGACAGAGCTGACGTGAGCGAGGAGCACGTCAAAGTGCATTTATACCCACTTAGTACTCGATCAACTACTTATTCGCACGCACAAGTGGTTATTTTAATTATTGTGTACTTACCGACAGTATCAAGACGATCCACAGGCAAACATTTCGGGCCGTCTTGGTCGTTTCGTCCATTTCGCGTCTGGTCGGGTCTCTGTAAAACAAAATATGACACGACTGTTAGTTCAAAACTCCAGATACTTTCCAAAAGGCACAAACGCCGGCAAGTAAATGTCGCGCGATGCACGTGCGGATGAATACGTGAAACACTCGCATGCGAGTGCATGTACGAGATAAAAAAAAATAATATTTATTATGATTACTACTATTGTCTAGTGGAGTCGGACGGGCATTGGTTACACTTGTTAAAAATCAATGATCGTAAAAAAGCGTGCGTTTAATTCTTTACACGGGTAGAGTACGCGTCTTCTTCACCGTCACCACCACCGCCGACGTCGTTCACTAGGAATTACGTTTGCGTTGACCCGTTTAACTGTACACAACTATCGCGCCGGGTAGTGTGGCGGTTACCTATGCGAACGCAGACGGCAAGAAAGGTCGGCATTCGCACGACATTGACACCTGATGCAGCGGATCGACGGACGACTGACGGACTGCTGAGCAACTGGTGGGGGGAGGGGACGGCCGTAATACGTGCCATAAGTACGTAATTAAGCCCGTCCGGTAGTAGTGTTCACGGAATCGTTGGTTGGCTTGCGGTTCAATTGCTTTATTTGTTAATAATAATAATAAGTCGAACGCTTTCGGTTGTCAAAGCGTCGACCGCCGGATACTATACCCGTTCGGTCACCGTCGACTGTAACCGTCCAGCATTCACACGAACCAGTGTCTGTGTCGTACTCTACGGGACGAAAAATCAATATTGAAATCGTCGCACAGTTAATCCGCTATAATTAATAATTATTAACGCGGCGAAAGATGATGTACAAAAATTAATGTTATCAACTTGGTATTTCGTCATTTTTCCAGGCGTTTAAGAAGTATGTCTATGCAATTATCGACTGCCTTAGATTTTATATGCGAGCCACGTGCGTTGTAAGGTACGCTTTTCTAGCCACCGCCAACTGATACAATGCGCGCCAAATATAAAATAACCATGTAAATGATTATGGTGTCGTAAAGAGAACGAATGATCCGTCAATAACCGTCAACTAGTGTGTGGTGTATGCGGAACTCGCGATGACCGACACACTTATCTCATTTCTTTAAAACGGAACGCGTGTCCGGTGTGATTCGTTGCTTGTTGCCAATTTTTTTTTTTTTTTTACAGCTATCGATTAAACGGTCATTGACAGATAACAATAATATGTTAGTCTGTTACATGATAATGATACAAAGTCGAAATGATTTATCTCCCAAGCGCTTAATAATAGTAATATTCACACCGACGGCTAACTGCTAATTTTTTTCAAATCTAACTGGATTCTAAACATGACACATGTTACGAGTGCGCATTATACAAGTAAAAACGTTTTTTTATCAAATCAATTGCAGGTGTCCAAAAAATATGAATCGAATCCAAAACGTGTTTATTGAACACCGTTAACTTCGAGATTAATGATTTCCAAGAAATTATAAAAAAATGAATATATCAGACGCACAGCTGTTTTTATTGCCACATTTATTGATAAATTAGCTATCAATTTCTGTTATTTAAATGTTTATAAATATTTTAGGATTACAAAGCTGAATAATATACAGAATGTCCCACTATGTTCTATCATTTTTAATAACTTTTATACATAAAAACTTTTTTAGGTTTTACTAATGGGCGACTTCCTCTACCATAGTGGTATGCTATGTAAATGAATAAATAAAAAAAAGTTATCATTTTATTTACTATACTCGGATTGTTTTTCTAATAAAATATCTTTATTTTTTTATTACAAACAAATAATAAAAAATAATTTTTTAATGTTAGTCCATTTGATGATATTAAAAAATAAAAGTAACCTTAGATATAAGCTGGGTCAAAAGTTATTAAAGATGTTAAAACATGGTGGGACACAATATATAGAGTCACGGCATGTTTTTAAAGATTAAAAAGATATGCATTTCAGTTATTTTTTTTTTGCCACTATAAAAGAAGAGCAATTTTAAATATAAAAGAAAATTATTTTTTTAATTTTATTTATAGCCATTTATTATTATTATAAACTTTTATTTTTGTTTTTTATAAATTAGTGGGTGCAAGTTATATTCTAAACACCTTAAAACGATTGTTGGTAGGTATAACTATAATTATAATTATGTGTATTCTATTTTTTTTATTCTTATTATAAAACTCGCGTCATCATGGCCATTTGTTCCGTATTTCTATTATAAAAAGTTGCATTTGATTTTGTGTATTATTTTCAAAATATATTTTGGCAAATTCAAATTTTTTAACGAGCAATTGCCATTTGCATCTAATTTTTAAGCTGTTGGCTATAAGTAATTTTACATATATTCTTTGATAGAAGCAATTTTTTTTATAAATGAGTGCTTCAGTAATTATTGAATATCGTTTAATTAAATCCGAATCAACTAGATGCGATGAATTCTTAAATACAGAGATTTGGAATTTGTTAATTTCACTGATACTTATGGTATAATAATTTTTATGTAGGTTAAAAAAATATGTACATGTATATATAGTGATTTTTATATAAATTATGCCCAAAATTCTCATATAAATGAAATGTTAAATTTTTATGTTTTTGTTTCAATACTATTAATAAACTTATAACAAAATACATAAGATTCCAGTAAAAGATTATAATAAATATTTAAATAAATGAGTGAATGCGTTAAGATACAGATAAATACAACTCATTAGAAACAAAAGATAGCATTACATTTGATGTATTAATTTCTCATACAAAAAGTGTAATGTATAAGTAAAATTATACTTTTGTACATTGGATGCTTCTTTTTCTCCTTGATGGTGTTTTTTAATCAAATATTTAAAAAATGTAAATAAACCTTTAATTTAAGGTTTGACGCTAGAATAAAATTATTTAAAAATACTGGAAAATTGAAAGAAAAAGTAGATTTAATAGTGTAAAGACCATAAACGGATATTCAGTTTCAGTGATCTCATTCCACATTTTTCGTAAGTTGTCAAAATTATAAGACTAGTTTATTAATTGTAAAAATAAGCAATGATTTATTTCCATAAGTTTAATAAGTTTTCATTTATAAAAAATATAAAATAAACGATTATTGTGGCAATAATAATGTTACTAAAACGCTAAGTAAAAAAAATTGTCTTTAGCTCGAGTTTTATTAAGTAAAATAAGTTCTTTGCACGTATTAGATTAGAGATGTAACTAATAAGAGTACAGTACATCAATTGTCTTTTATTCTAGAAAATTCTACTTGCATAATTTTAATTGTTGTTAGTATGCAGCAGAATTACTCTTTTGTCGTGAACTGCATGCAAATAAAATGTAAATTAGTTATTCGTAATGAGTGGATTGTAAATGAACCCTTTAAGCGGTTGCCATTAATTTTACTGTTCTCGTAAGTATAGCAATAAATTCTAATTATGAGCACTGTAAAATGTTGTTCGAAAACCACTATTTAGTAAAATAAACGAGATTTGTAGAGCGCATCTATAAGCGCAAATTGTCTATGCTTTACTTTGTTTTTCTAAATGATGTATTCAACTAGATTTTTCAGGCCAACGCCCGCGTTTGCTATTCTCGTTCAGAGCACTTTGGGCGGACCATCGCGGTATTTAATCGGTTTTAATTAGTTTGTCCGAAAACAAAAACGCAAAAATTATAATCGTTGTGTACGCGGTTTTTTGGACCGCACCTTATTGATATGTGCGCAATTGACCGTCAGTCGGTACAATGCCGTTTTTAAAATATATTCTGGACGATGTAAAAAGTGACACGCACGTAAGTGAGAAGTTGTACACTGTCGATGAATAGACCGTCTTTTTATTTGATGAAGATAAAAATAATTACACAGAAGTGTAAACCTCTTCCGTGGCCTCTTGCCCTCTAATCATTTTTAGCCGGTAGCGGTTTTATCGACACCAATTGTGTGATTTATTACGCCGAAAAATACTGGTTTCTTTTATTTGGTTAGTGCCATCATATCTCATGTCTCAAGACTTCACATACCAAGTTCATTCATGTATTATTATACCATACACTGACCGCAATGGTAACGTATGTGTTATTCTAACATACTGAAAAATGTTCTAATGGTATCTCTACACTGTGCAGGGATGAATAGAGTGGTGTTCGGTTCACTGTGTTTGGCAAAAAACTTTTTTCTTTCAAATTAATCAAATGTTCAAGTAGTTTATTTGTAATAATAATCGTAAACATTTCATTCTTGTATTTTAGAAGATAATTTACTCGTGTTGTACAATTGAAGGATTAGTGGATAAATTTGATTTGTATACTATAAGACAACTTTTAGAACAGTAATTGGATATTTTTGCTAATATACTAGCGAAAAATGTTATTTTTACTAATCTTCAATGTACATGTTCTTATTTATTATTTATATGAATTATCTCAATACTTTATGTCTACGACGTCGCCCGTGATTTTCTATCATAAATTCTATTTTACTAATTCTTGGCGGTTTTCTTTCATTTTACTCATCTCTTCTTGATTTTTTTAATTCGTATTTACATTTGATTTTTACCCGATAGTTGTCTTTAATCTATTTCTGCCTATTATTTTTATCACTTGATCGTAATTTTTTTAAATAGCCTCTTTTGCGGGAGTGGAAAAATCGGATCACGTACTTTATGGATTTCGGTGTGTGATAACATAATACAAGAGACTCTTATTCAGAAACGTAAAGTTTGGTTAACTTAAGAACTGTTGTAAATCGGTTTGCGAAAAAATAGACTAATGGTATTACTGTACTGAAACGTACAATTACTATAATTTTCCTGCTAGTCGCATGGTCAATAGGTATGTGTAGTGTAAAGTTGGCAGCGTCTAGACCCGCAGACGACGTTCGCTAGGAACGAGCATACACAATATGGCATAGAAGAAAAAAATGAGTAAGTAAAGAACTGGTTTCCGTATAGAAACTGACTGTATGTCTTTGCCGGATAAATGATGGAACGCGCTGGATATTCTCGGAAAAACGACGGCTCGTGTGGAAGAAACGAGTCGCTCTTCACAAGGCGTGTCGCGATAATGCCGTGTGCATCAATGAATGGTAATAATAAAAAATAAATAAATGGGAAATGTGTACGTATGGAGGTTCTTTTACGGACGACGTTTTCATTTTGTTATTATATTTATCGGATTACCGCGGTGTGTGTTGTGTCAATGGACAGACCGACCGCCGCAGTATCGACCTACTTTCCGATCGGCCGTATCCCATCGGTCGTGAATTCAAGTACAATAATGTGTACGAAGACATCGGACACTATGTGTGCGGACTCTCATTGTTTGCCAAGTGCTCATTGTTACATCCGTCGTCCCGATTCTAATGATTTTTTTTTTTCATGTACGCATGTGTACATGTGTTTTATTTAACATTGCTGTCACGTCGCGACAATGCGCGTTTATATAATTACATTATATGTAAGCGGAGGTTCGTGGATATGTACGGAGGAGAGTCGTGCGAGTGTTCTTATTCGTCCGACGAGAACTGGCTGTTGATCTGACTCGCAAATCGTTGTGCGATAATGGTCTGTCACGGTAACGGTCGTTTTGTCTAGAATTCGACGGCGTGTAAAACAAAAGCTTTGCTCGGAAGTGCCAATAATGATGTCACGTTGTCAACTCTTTGAGCGCGCGCGCGACATTCACGAGACACAATAACACTGTTTTGGAAAGCGTGTGCCCGACTTTGGTCGCCATGCGATCAGTCGGTCAAATTCCGCGCATTCTCCCGAGTGCCAATCAGTACGACCTGTTATGAATTTCAAATGAACCGGTGCCGGCGCACAAAGTTCTCGGTGGTTTGCTGTTATTATGCTCGTTCTGCCGTTTCCCCGATCTGTGCCGTAAACGCACGACGCCGTGTGTGTACATGCGGTCGGCAAGACGGAGAGGCCCCGGGGCTGACATTATCAAACCTGTCCTATGTCCTAACCGGATTATATGGGAGACGACCACATTTTTTGGAATCAATCCGAAAATACCGCCTGCCGTATAATACGTTACGGTACCCGAATCGCCGGGCTTTTAATTTATTTACTGACTGTCGATGGCGTATTAGTACACGTTACGTATGGTACACACCGGCTGCGGTGTAATGTCTTTCCCGCGGACAGAACGACCCATCGATTGTAATTTACCATCGAGGCAGCGCGCCCGTCAAGCGCACCGGCTCTTTCCAGAACGTTCACGATAAAGCGATTAGTTTTTAAAATGAAAATTTATCGAAACCAATAAAAAGTAACGGCTGGCGGAAGCGTAAAGGAGATGTTTGTTTAAATCTGAGAATTCGTGTTAAGCGCGTGACCCGAGCAGTCTCGATTTTGGTCAGCTAGGGCGCCGTATACATTTCTTTATGCTCTGAAAACAACGGGTGCACGCTCGCAATGCGTTGTACGGTGTCGAGCGTGTACACGGATAGGTTTTGTAGGTACACGGCGCTCGCTGCCCGCCCGCGTTACACTGCATTAAATTATTTCCGTACAGCTGTGGTGTGTACGCGCGTATGACTAATAAGCGATTCGGGAAATGATCATCATATTATCTGCCGTACATGGCAAATTTCTGCGCGTCACACGTCGGTAGACGTACGTTTAATACGTCCGCGTTATTATTATCATTTTTTTTGTTCCTCTTCTACTCATTACTATTTTTCGTCGACGCACACCTGCTTCTCGCCAGCCTCGAGCGGTCCCGGAAAGTTGATTTAGGTCAGATGGCGCACACACACACGAGCGCGCGCGTAGACGGATTGCCGCGGCGGTGGTTGCACGAAAAGAAGTGCGGCCGTCTCGGTGGGAGAATTATTGGCCGACGAAAGCAACGCGGGGCTAGTGAGTCTGTAAGACGATCGACCGCGGCGCGAGCGGGAGCATCTATAGCCTTGACCCAACGGCATTCTACAACCCGTGTAAGACGGGCGCGGGCCGGAAGAGAGGTGACCACAGACGGGGCATCGACTTTGTGCACGCACACACAATCATAATGCCGACAATATAATGCGCGTTATATACGCGTATATCGGAATACACACACACACACACACACAGTTTTCCCACGGCGCACCCTTTGCGCGAAGAGACGTTGTAGACGGCGTATGACCCGCGGCGGAGGTGGGAGATGCAAGTTTGGCAAACTGTTGGGAAACCCGTTTTTCGGAATCCGCACTGGTCGCCGCGACTTATTATTATTACATATTATCAACAATCATCTACCACTATCGTTATAATTATTATTATTATTATTATTATCGTACCTAGATGGTATAAGACACGAGTGATTTAGCGCGCCCGAACAATTCCTACCCGATGAATGGTCGAACGCGACCGAGATGAAAAATGATCTTCGTATGCATCGCCGTCGTCGTTCTTGGCGCTGTAAGATAACGCCAGTAGTGTTCACGTACTTCCTCAATTCACGCAGTCCGTAAAATATAAACACGTCGTTTCGTAGAAGTGTTATCGGATACAACATATCATTGCGCTTTACACAAGTGTGAAAGCTATTGTTCTTTTTATGAAGGTGTCAGAACGGAGCCCAGACTGGAGGCTTTAACCTGACCTCTTTTATTCGATTACGAAGAAATCGATCTATTAAAGGCATCAACGTTCGTCGTGTAATTAGTAACCCCAGCGGCATATTGTACTGTTACAGCAGAACGTCGGTCAAGAGACGACGGGGAGGCATTTGTAATGTGTTAAAACGAATGCGCGGTGTAAATTGGCAGATGCGCCGAACAGCAACATTGCTAATGCGACGACGTCCGAGCGTTTATTATTATCATGTTCAATGAAACCGGCAGTCAATTAACCGACCGACTGAGCGTAAATCGTAGAGATCATAAAACTCGTATACCATAACTCTTCCGCAGTAGTTGTAGTGGTGTGATCTCCGTGTTCCGCGCGTCCCGATAATGAAATATATCCATTACCCGTTTTATTCGGATAGGTTTATGGTCAGTCGGTCGGGGGGTATGGATATCACGTCTCTTGCCGCGTACAATATGTACTGAGAGACGGTGTAACGGAATGCGCCGACGCCACCACACACGGTAAAAGTAACACGCCAATTAGCTGTATGTATGGTGTGCCTATTAGAATTAGTAACCAATAATAATAATACGCGATATTCGAAAACGTTACGGGAAATAATGGAATTCGCATTCCGCGTATACATACCGTGTAATTAGTATTGTATTATTAAAATGTAATAAAACGTGTGTAATATATTCACATGTCATGTGAATATATTATGCCAATGCAACTGGTCGGTTTATGTTATCCGCGGTCAAAGAATAATTATCGTTATTATTATTTTAATCGTGAAATCCTATTGTTTTTGGAGCTCTAATTAATTGAGATTATTTTATTTTCCATTCATGCTTTTGGAAAATGAAAAATACATATCATAAAAATAAACCGTTTAACGCAGGAAATCATCACTAACATTTATTGTCCGCCTAGTCATTATTTTTATGACGCCTTAATGAAACGTGTAAATGATATTAAAGCTGTTGTCATTAGCAAACGCCGAGTTATTACTACCAAACAAACGTTGACGGTTCGTGCAAGTCGTACTTTAAACTACATTAAATCCGAATGGTTAACGAATATATTATTAAGTGCGAAATTGGTGTGTCCGAGAATAAAATGGGGTTTAGTCAGATGGTGTTCACGGACATCGCAAGGCGATAAGATTTTGTTTTGCTCTGGGAGGGAGTTTTCGCGCGACTTGGTCTTTAACTCTCGACTATAACCAGCGAGTTGCGAGGAACTCGGACGACACCTGTACGTTATAGCGTTCACTAGACATAGCAGTTTAATTGAGCCTTTAAAAGTTATTCACGTATCATGTGTAGATTTGAATTGTAGAATGTACCGTAGGTGTATCTGCGCTCGGGTACAAAACTCAATAGTTTCTCTCGAGTTGTTACATACTCGCGGTAAAAAATGTTATACGCCCCCAAAATGTTTTCATAACAGGGTTGTTATCCGACTTTGCACTCGACCCCCATTTCCAGTTCCTACCGCGTGAACATGTCAAAACTAAAGAAAATATGTCATGTATGCAGTTACTTACAGTGTAGGCCTCGCGTGGCTGTATTAGCGTGTTTTTTGTATACCGTTTTGAATAGAGCACTAATCACGTTGGACGATCTATAGCCGGTCACTGGCTCAGATCAGTTGTGACGCTCGGGGGTAGCTCGACGAATAACTGCATTGTCGTCATCGATAAGAGGATTCTGACAAAACTTTCGTCATCGGTTGCACATGACACAAATTTAACGTTTCAATTAAGATATCAAAACTCTACTGTCAATATTGAAACCGCTAAATGCTTTTTGTTCAAAAGAATCGCTTTATCAATAGACTCGTAATGCTGTAAGAGGAAACCGAACCGTTTAAACGAACATGACGAACAACGCAGTGAGGTCGTTTGTGCGGCGCGTACTTGTGCGTGGACCCGTGAATGCACACTGCGAACAACTACTTGGCGACTACTGGCGGGACGGCGGCGGCCAGTTCTTCTTGGCCGCCGGGAGACCGCGACCAAGACCACGGACGGTTAGCGTTGGCCGCCGCCGTCTTCGGTGTAGCGAGAACGGGGGAACCGGTCCGCGCGCACGCACCGCATACTAGGAGAACTCGCTACCAAACAGCTACACACGGCAGTTGACGGTAACATAGCGGCACCTTTTATGTCTACTACGCGCGGGAAGATTCCATATTGTATTTTCCCTTCTGTTTTGAGTATTTTTTTTATTTATTTTCTTCGGATTTTCTTGAGTGTCTTTTTTTTTTTATACTCTACAGATAATTCGATCGAGTTTACACAAACGGGTATTGCGTTTGTTTCGCAGAATTGGCTAAGTCGTTGCGTACACTCAAACTAGACCGCCAAAAACTTGGTACACTTCCGGGCGCAATCTGTGGTTTGGTTTCCGGTAATGTCCGGTCGTCAATTTTCGTTTGTTTAAACAATCTAATACGTTGATTTAAGCTGAAAACATACATTGTACACACCGAACTATAAAAACATATTATCTTTAAATGACCCGTTAAAAATTCGGTTTAATTCCTCAGAAAATTTAGGAGAATACATTGATTTTGTTTTTTTTTCAAATATAAAAAATTTACGTTAACTATCACTGAATGACGACCATTACAATATACAATTGAGCCATGTATATTTTTTACAGTTTAAATCCTAGCCTAGTCTTATGAGGTTCAATTGAAATGAAATATATTTAATAAAACGTACACAATTTTACATAGAATACTTAAATAATTGTGTAACTCTAATGGTCGACTATTTAAGTCTCAATGATTTTAAATCAACGAACAAGTTCCGAGATGATATTTATTAAAAATTTAAATAAAAAAGAACGATAAATTATTAAACAGTGTATCAAAGATCTCTTGGTAAGAAACTCTTATTGAAAATTATTTACAAAAAAGTGTATTGATGATTTTCAGATCCAATCATCATAAAGGACGCTGGGGAAGCTTTGAACAGTAAAGCCTCTCACTTTTGTTTAATTTCATGATATTTTATTCTTTTGAATTTTATTTAAAAATCTTAAAACATGTATTTTTATCGTTTTCACTTACGTTAATAAGAATACAAAATTCTATTTTTTTTTTTTGAGATAACGGAGCATAAAAAATCGATTACAATGTTAGTTTTACAAAAATGGTGTAATATTTTTTTCTTTTCGAATAATTTTGAAAAATCGATGTACACAGTTTTTTCATGGAGACGACAATATACGTCGTCGCTAGGGAAATACTTGTCTTGCTTTTATTTTTAAACCATAGCTTGTAAATAAATAAATAAAAATAACCAATGTAGAGCATGGTCTTTGTAGTCTTTGACCACACCACTGTAATGGAAATATACATTATTGGTCCTTTATAATTTACAATGTATTCATAGGGATCTTCTTAATTCTGTTACAATAAATGCTTAGTTCAGAAATTTTTTTATTCAAGGTCTTGACTATAGTAAAAAATTGAAGGTTTCGGATTTTGAGGACTGTAGTAAATTAGATTTTAACTAATTACAATGATGGACTTGCAGTAAAATGTATACATATACATTATGTTGGCATAAATCTGGAACACAGTTATCAAAATAATGATAATGGTTAGCTATTGTTTGCTAATAAAAAGATTCTCTACGAGCAACTATTGTTGTCGTTATGTTATTATTAAACAGTGTATGCCTTTGGAAAATTTCGCATTGAAGTATACAAAATACTTTTCCAGTCGTCCGAGTCAGACGGTCGTCGGTTATTATACTTACACTGCCAACTCGATCGATTTCGTGCGGACTCCTGCGAACTGAAGAAGTTTTTTATTTTATATTGCCATCATAAAACAGCGAAAGCAACGCTTTGTACTCAGCTGTAAGCCGGATCCGTCCACCATCGAGACACCGTTGACTGCGATCAATCAATGAAAACAGAAAACGTGGTTCAGTTTCTAATAATTACGAGTGCATCATTGTTTGCCGCATAACTATTTGTTTGTTAAAAGTAAATAACTATATGAGTGTTCAAATGTTTTCATGCTGAATTATTTCATTGTCACAGTAGGTCAGTTGTCTATTATGCGAAGCATTCATTCACCTTTTAGTAATATAGGTTTATGTGTTTAATCTGTTTGGTTTCGTAACTCAGAAACTGAGAAAACAAGTTTCGTGTATTTTAATATTGTAGGACAGGAGGAAGAAAATTATTATTCAGAATAAAGAACATTTATTTTGAACACATTTCGTATTAACCTAAGCGAAACTACAAAATCTCAAATAAATCTGAATAAATTCAAAATTTAATGAATTGTATTAAATTCTGTTTTTAGTAGATCAGAAAAACTTTTTTTTATGTTCTACAAAATTTTTACTTCAAGTACACTGTTTGGAATGATCCAAAAATTCCTAAACGTCACTATGATATTTTTATTGTGCACATCAATTTTACACACAGGTAGTGTAATTTGACATAAAGCATCGATAATTTATAAACAAATATATCATTTTTTATCACACATTTCCTTTATATTGCAAGTGTTAATTACTTCCAATGCATGTGAAAATTAGTAAATTTTTTTTAAGTGAAAATAATAGTTATGCATAACGTTTTGTTACACAAACAATTTTTCAAGCTGTACACTAAATTATTTTATATCAAAAACGAATTTTTTATGGAAGAGAACAATTAAATTTAAATTCATACTTTTTGAACGCTAAATAACTTATAGTAAGAACACTAATAAGTTGTTTGGTTTAAACGTGACTCGAAGAAGAATGTGTTTTTTGTTTGCACTCGGAACTAAAAGAAATTGTTTACCGATGAATTTAAACGGTAAATCATTATGTATATTAGCTCTCTTGATGCAACGCGTTTGGCAAGTAAAACTCTGTTTTTAAATATATATAAAGATGCTAATAGACTCCCCGTAGGGTCCTGAAGACGTTCCTAACACAGATATTATGCGCCAGTAAAATGAGCATGTAATGTGCAGCAATAATCCATAATAAATTTTCTACTTCCCGTCTGAATTCCTAATTCATTATCGGAGCATCATCGTTTTAAAATCACTATAATAGTTCTTTTTATGGAATACCAGTAATACATTTGTACTACATTGGCCGGTAAATATCGTCGACTCGTCCGATTCCGGTCTTTATGGTATGTGACATATTTCAACTTTGAATGTATCAGAATTAAATTTTCAGACAAAATGAAATAATATAGTAACATAAATATTATTTCATTCGTTTAAAATTTATATACATTTATTTGATGTTCACGAGTATAAATTAAGATAAATGTAAGTCTTTGATAAGTCTTATTTGTGTAACTTGGTGGTTAGTTTAATATAACTGTATGATAATTTTATTTTTAAAAACTAAAAATGATATATTTTGCGTTAGAACCTTTTCATTCTCAGGTTACGACGATTTATCTTAAAATTGTTATCGACCCATCAATATCTTCTTCTTCCTTGCCTTAATCCCAACTACTCGAGGTTGGCCACTCTTATCCTAACTTCCACTTGACACGATGCCCATTAATATCTTCTTATTTTATTAAATTAAAAAAATTATTATTTTTTATTATAAAAATAAATAATAAAAAATGTGGATTTAATATAGTTTAAGAATGCAATAATTGTTAAAAAATACAATTTTAATTAGACAAAATAAAATAAATGCTAGAAATTATGAGTCTAGTTACTATAGTATTATTTATTCTTAATATAGCTGGGAATGTAAGATTATATTAGTAAATAATTTACCAATTTAATAGATGACTGGAAATTCAGGAGATAAAAGTGGTATTGTATGATATACTTGTATTAAAGGAAACTACATCAAAATAGTTAACATCGAAAAATTGAAAAAATAAACATTTTGAGTGATGAATCGGAGCATTTATTTAAAAAAATACAAAAAAGAAATTTTGAACGATTTATGTAGGAAATTATAGGCGTCATCATTTCAAAAATACAAATTAATTTATGCGAGAAAGTCATTTATCATTTTGTTGACATAGTTAACCGATGTTGACTAAGTGGAAGAAGTCATACTCTAGATATTACAATATCAGGCATATAATAGATATATTTTTCATCGTTAAACTGGAATACTTGCTGATTATAAATGTATATAACTTAATGGGTTTATGTTAAAATTGTATTGATTTATTCATTATTTAGAAATTGTGCACTTCATGGAGCCAACTGTACATGTTAGAAATAACAATATTACATATAATTCATTAGAATTAGTAATAATTTTAATTATTAACAATAAGGCCTATTAAGGCCTTACTGTTAATATTTTAAATCATTATCGTTACAAATTCTGAAAAGAAGACAAAATTAATAGTTAACTTCATCAACAATTATTATAAATAAGAGAGGGTCACCTAAATTGGAACACATCTTTATTTCAATCATTAAATATCAATATTGGGTTACATTTGTGTAAATCCAAGTTATGATGAGTTATAATAAAATTTCCTCTTAACTTATATTATGAATTATTATTTAATTTAATAAAAACCATTAGTTTATCGTTTTTTCCCTCTAGCACAAGCAATAGTTTGTAAGAAAAATGTAAAAATATGTTAAAAAAAAAAATAAAATCTGATTTTTGACATTTGAGTCTAATTTTTATTTTTTTATCGCAGTAGTTTTGAAAAAAGCTATGTTAAATTTTTCTGATGTTAATTAAAACTAGGTAAAATATATGAAAAGTTATACATAAATAAAATCGTCTTTTCAGTAATATTATAAACAAATTCTTAGCTGTAAGATTTTAGTTATAGCCATTTTCATTGTTAGTGGTATACTGCTATAAAATAATAAAAGTTTATGTGTCTTTTTTAAACTTTGATGACAAAAAAAATTTAATACAACCACATTGTTTGAAATCGCAATCATAAAACATTTCAAAAAGATGTTTTTATAGCTTGTAATCTTTTTAATACAATTAGTATACAAAAAATAATTTTCTC